TTCTACTGAATACCGAATAGTTTTAATTGTAAAAATAAAAGAAAATGAAATAAAATGAAATATTTAATATTATAAAACATAATGTATATACGTACCTATTAATTTAGTAGTATTAATTTGTTATAGGAATAAATATTCTTTTAAAAATTAATGTATTAAAAATTATGGAGTGAAATTGTGATGTTAAGAAACAAATTTTTCAGCATTGGAGGAAAGCAATCTGTTTCCTTACTTTTCATATACATTATCTGCTTCTGAAAAAAGTCGTTCTGAATAATCACTGCTGCTGAGGGCAGAGATAAATTGTAGTAGTAAAGCTTTGTTTAGTTGTTATAAATAATGTGGGAATAATTCTATTATACTATTCTTTAAATTTTTGCACTCAATAAAATATGTCCGTATAGACGATTTCTTCCTATTTGTAGAAACCAGTAGCGTACGATCTTCACAAAAGTAATAAAAATAATAACTTTGCTGAAAGCATAAATACCTTTTTTACGTTACGCAATATAAGCTATACTAATTGTAAGCGTACAAATTTATCACAACAGACGGAGAGAATTTTATTTTAAAATTTACCCTGTTAATCGTAAGACAACATAGTATTTCGACGAATTTTATGTGATTTTCGTTATTTTTGTTAACATAGGGTGCTTTCCATTTAGTGACACAAACCGACACAAGTATTGTCTTTGTCTTTGTTTCTCACTAAATGGTAAGAAGGATAGAACGACGTTTGTGTCGACTTGTATCACTAAATGGAAAGCATTCATATACTATAACAAAAAAATGACCCAAAAAATCGCCCGTTTTTTGGACACTCGATTTTGAGACTGAACTGTGTGTCAAATGATATCTTATAATGAGACATTAATTATAGAGAAGTTTTAAGTTGAGATGACAATTGTTATCAGGATGCTGAAGGAGAAGGGGATGAAATCAAATTTTATTATGGAATTATCACAGGTCTGCGAGCTCCAGTATTTTAAGTAGGTTGATCGTAGTCTTACGTAAATGACGGTTGTTTTGGATGTAAAAAAAAAAAACGAATTTACGCGTATAAACTATAAAGAGATACATAATAAGTGACCTCTCTCCAGCTGTGATGACAATTGTCAACCTTAAACTTCTCATGTGTGATTAATATCTCATTATAAGGTACTATTTGGCATACAGTCCAGTCTCAAAATCGAAGGCCCAAAAAAAACAAGTAAAAAAAACCATCTTTTTTGGGTCACTCTATTGTAGTGCACAGTAAAAAAAACAGAAAAAATTACATAAAAGAAAACAGTGCATAAATGACCATTTTTGGCCCTAAACAGACACCTTTAAAACCTATAAATTTATCATTTTAAAGGTCCAAGCATTCATGAAAAAAGGTTATTTACCCAGGAAAGCTCGGGAAACCTTCCAAAAATAATAAAGTAGGCTGTTTGAACGCTTTGCAAAAATCTCATTTAACACATTTAACACATGTGTTAAATATGATTATAAATGAGATTTTGCAAAGCTTTCAAACAGCCTACTTTATTATTTTTTGAAGGTTTTTCGAACTTTCCTGGATAAATAACCTTTTTTCATGAATGTTTTTGGATCTTTAAATTAAATTTATAGGTTTTAAAGGTGTTCGTTCAGAGCCAAAAATGGCCATTTTTGCACTACCTCCTTTGTCTAAATACTATGTTGTCCCATGATTAACATGATTTTCAGGATTAAGTTTTAAAAGAAAATTCTCTCCGTGCATATAATACACACGTATGTGTACACGGAGATATGGGGGGGGGGGCATGGTAGGGAGATCGCGCGCCCGCAGCATTGTTTTTGTTAAAGTCATGCCTAATATTCACTAAATATTCGATTATTTGAATATGCACATTACTTTAATTGCTGGATATTCGGTATTCGATTATTACGTGCCGAATATACTATTCGTTGTATCTCTACTATAAATGCACGGTGTGAATGCGGGTCTGTGAGAAGAAGCCGAGTAGCCGAGAAGCCGAGTAGCTGAAACAGCCACTGGCGAGTGGCCTCGTATGTTCACACACAGAAGTCTCTTTATCCCTCTCTTTCTTTCTTTCTCTTTTTTTTGCTTTGTCCCTCTCTCTGTCTCTCCGCTAAGCAAAGTGGTGCTGCTACTTGCTTGGCCGACAGTGTACCTCCCAAAGGAAGAAAGAAAGATGAGCGTAATGACTAAATAAAAGATGGAATCGCAGATAACCGCCCCGTTTATGTCGACCTTGACATCGTACGTGTGTCGATCTGGCTTTAAGCTTCGCGACAAAGCCCATTTCACGCACCAATGTCGCGTGGTCATCGGCAGGATAAAATCGCGACAATCTTCCTCTCTTCACGCTTTTCCCTTTGTGTACCATGGAACTTGTCGCGGTTTCGATTAAAAGCAACGATCAAAGTCTTTAAACTTAAAATATAAATAACCATCTCTCGGTTAGGTTTGCTCGATAAACCTGTTTATACATATCTGCACTTCACATTTTCATATTGGTCTTTAACTAATTTAATTAACGTACGTAATTGTGTGACGATTGCCGATAAAATTGGCATTGTTATAGGTAAAATAGCTTCATTTTGAAGATATTTTTATTCCTATATAAGTTTAAGATCATGTGTCAAATAACCGAATATTGATATTTTAGTTTCATTGTTGTTTGTTATTAAGCTGGATCAATTAAAATCGGTGCGGATATAAAGAGATCGAGTAATTTAAGTTTTTGAATCCGGCTACAGTTCAAGTTTTATTTGAATAGGTATCTTTACACACGAGTCCGTGCGCGTTAGTGTACCGAATATCTTAATTTGCATTTTCTCTCATGATCGGTCGCCTGAGCTTGACTTGTCTTCCCGAGAGCTTGCTTTGTCCTATCATTGCTTACGTAAAGACATTTAAATTTTAAATGACGTTGCTTCCTGTTAAAAAAAAAACGATAAAAAACAATATAATTATTTCTAATCGTAGTTATGAATCGTAAAAAAATTATCATGTATAAATTTATTATGATGTTTTAATCATTTTTTTATGATAAATTTTATCACAACAATATAGAACAATAAGTTACTATAGAAATTCTATCAATATTTCAATTGAAATTGCTTCTATCATATAATGATAGAAAAATAAGAAACAATAACATTTCTTTTGGAATAGATGAAGTGGAACGATAGATACGAATTATGATACGAAACGATAAAATAATTAGCAGATCCTATGGATTTCTATTGTTTTTTATCGATTTTTTTTAACAGGGCTTTTTTCTGCACGTGCAGATTACGCATTGATTGAGATTTTGATTTGTATATTATAATTCAATACGTACAGTATTATATTTTATGTATTAATAATTTGCTTAATAATTTGCACGCAAAAAAATTATGTAATTCAATAACGTGATATTTATGAAACTCAAAAGTCTATTATGTCATTTCGCCTTTATCCGTCTCGTGTATTTGTTTCTATATGTTTTATCTCACTCTATGTTATCGCTTTTTATCGTTGCCGAACAGCTAAGCGGATCCGCGAATCCGTCAGCGTGAATACGTCTAACTTTCTTCCTATCCTTTTCGAATTTTTCGACACAGATTAAATTGCTAATTACAGCTGAAGTAGTGGCAACGCAATCGCCACAATGATATTTATAATATTAATAAATATACATTCATAATTTTTTATTTTGTGCTTATTACGATCAATTAGAAAAAGACAAGAATATTCCAATATAAATTTCCTAATAATAATGTATTTTCCAGAAACAACTTCCTATGACACAGACCGCTCTCTCGTTGGACCACTCAATTTTTCAGCTCGCAGTCACGATTAATGGGTCTTTTCAGAATTTCCATTTATCAAGGGCTGCATACACGAAGCACCTCGGCCGGAGAAACGACCGCGATATCGTTGATACCATCTTTTGTGCAAGGCAATGTCGGAGGAGAGAGAGAGAGAAAGAGAGAGAGAAAGAGAGACCCTCGCGTGCAAAAAGGGGCAAGCGGAGGGAGGACCGGCCCGTTCCGCCATCCCTCTCTCCTATTACTTCGCGGGGGATGAGGAGGGAGGCGAGAAAGGCAACTGAAAAGTGGTTCGCCGCCGTTCGAGAAAGCCGTTAACCCCCCAGCATCAACCTCCAAGTCATCCATCCCGTTATTGTATTTAGTTGCTCGCCGACGATGGGATACGGGATGGAACGGGACGGCTACGATGGCGGGCGACTCAACGCCTCTAATGCACATCCTGGAATATGATATCCGGAGCCGCTTTCACCGTACGCTGTATTGGTCTACAGTTACAAAGTAGACGTCGCTACTACCCTTCCGAGCCATTTTCCAACCCCCGGTTTTCCAACCGCCATCCTTTCGCTTCTTGTCAAATTCCTTTCCTTTCCCTCTTGCTCCCACTCGCCCGTATACTTTTGTCGTCCCCCTCTGTTACGAGTGCTTCAAAAGTTATTACTTTTTGCATTTTTTCCTAGTAAAATCTCAATCTTTTGCTTTCAACAAATTACAATTTTACACATTCCGAAGCATATGAATGAAAACTGTAAAATATATTTTTATTTCTTTCAAATGAGAATAAGACAAAATTGAATCGATTGCTTTTAATTTAACGTACATTTTTCAGCATATATACAAAGTAATCGTAGAAACTAATAACATTGCACAACTTGTATAAATTAAAATGTATCTAATAATGCTAGTCGGATAATTGCACTATTTTTAACAATCGGTATTTTTTAAATCAACTATTATTAAGTATATATATATATATATATATATATATATATAATTATAGTTGATTTCAAATACAATATATACATGATGTCACCACACCATCTGCTAATGACAGAATTAGACGATATTACAATTTTCATCTCTAATTAATTTCAAGCCTGTTATTAACAGATGGTGTGATCTCTCGGATACCTTATATATACATATAACAGATTGATATATATTGTATATACATAAAATCCATTGAAGTCGTCATATATTTTTCACTGCTGTATTATTCAATATACTTTAATTCCAAATAAAAATTCAACAAAAATCGAATACACGAGCACTCATACATACACGCATACCTACATATTTTCCAAAAATCGTGTACAACAGATAATCTCATTTATCGCATAATCTACAACATATTGTTCAGAGCATTGCAAATTAACGAATGTGCAACTGTATTTCATGTAAAAGCGCGATAATGTGATTAATCATGTTCGCGATAAGCGTGCAACACTGCTTTACAAATTCATCGCGCTCTCAAACAGCTCCAGCATCCTTTTCATCTCTTTGCTGAAAGATAGAAATAAAAATGTATGTGTACGTGTAAAAATTAGCCGAATTTATGTTTGAAATACTCTAATATTCATAGCAACTCATCACAACAAAGTTAATTAACGTGTTTGATTTCTTTTCTTAACTTCCGCTTGAATAATCGCACATTATAATAGATTTTACGAGTATTTCGAGAATAAGATTTCACATTAAGCTCATTACGTTAAATTTCACAATAAAGGACGAATGAAAGGGGAAGCGCAGGGAAAAAGTTTTTCTTTCTCTCTTCATTTTTCTTTTGGCTAGTAACAACCTCTAGAAAAATTCTGAGTTTAGAATTCGCTACTGTAATCTCTAGATACTCTAAGAATAATAATTAATTCAGCATCTAAAAGAGAAAGTTTTAATAAACACGCGCGTTCCCCTTCTCCTGCAACGAGTTTTCTTCTTATTTCTTCTCCCTCGCTACCACCCTTCATCTCGCTGTCCAGGATGTTAATACTTGATTAAAACGATCTCTTCTTAGATTAAGAACGTAATTTACAGTTAGCCGCTCTTGATTGACTTTATAAATAAGGATCGTGCCGCCTCTCCGTAAGAAAATTCATAAGAATGCTAATGTATAGTTTACGACTAAAGTTTCGGGATATGTCCCGTAATTATTAATAATTTCTCACGTGCCTGTGAATTGAATTAGAAGAGAAAAATATTTGCCGACAATTTATACTCACATCTGCTCTGCTAACTTATAAATTGGTCCCATCGACTTGGACAGCTCCTCGCACTTAGCCATCAGTTGATACATTGACTTTATATTGTGATCCACAGCGTCGCATGTCTTACACACTGCATCTCTGTAAGTTTCTAAACAGCCAACTGTGAGAGCCGAAGCCTAGGAGCAAGAGCGAATAATTCAAAAGTATACAATCGCATGTCATATAAATAATCAATATGGCCGGTGAACTTACGTTTTGTAGAATCGCGGCTAGATTTTCCGTCAACGCGTCCACGGAGGTTGCAACTTTTCTAGCCTCCATCTCTAATTCGTTTAATACGTTATGATCAAGAGGTGGTAATTGCGGGGTTAAGGCCTGCCTGTACAAGCACGGGGTCGAGCTTCGTGAGCCTGGAAACGACGGAGTATCCCCTTTCTTAGTCACAGGACTGGATAATTTGATCTTGTTCTCCAGATCCTCCGTCACGAACAACACCATATCCCCGTCCTGCATTACCCTTCCCTCCAGCTGCAGGTAACCCATAGCTTTATGATAGCTCGGTGGGTCGAGATCGTCGTCTTCTGTCGGACTGCCGCCCCTACTTCTCAGATTCAATTGATCCGGCCTGTGGCCGGCTCCTCCTATTTTCTCTAAATTGTCATCCAAAAATTTTCCACTGTCGATATCCGGGGAGTCAATGAGCGACCTCAGTTCGGAGATGGGTGGCGAGGATTGTGAATCGAATGATATCTCGGAATAAGATGCCGTCATCTCGTGTAACTGAAACAACAAATTCATCGATGACAAAATTGAACATTGAACGTGTTTTTTTGCACACAGCAAATTAATTGAATAAATTTAATTATGATCACCGACGAGATACTATTAAAGACCGACACCCTTATGAGAGTTAGCGTGGCATGTTTAGTAATTGCTAAAATTTAAGCAGTTAGTTAATAATATAGCATTAATTTTATGATTTATTAATAGATCAATATTTTTTAGACATGTACATCGTAATTCATATGTATTACATCAATTGCTAATAGTTAATTTTATTTAAAACTGCATTTTTATAGTTACCATCCGCGTTTGATTATCCAAAGAGATGGTAAAACAGTTGGAAAAAAATGTAATTTTGCGGCAATATATATGATATTATAGCATTATAAGTATT